AATGTTTACTCCGATCAAGGACTTTTTCAGTTTCATGCTCTGCCAGTGAGGAGGGGCATGGGAAGCCAGGAGGAAGCAGAGAAAGGACATCTGACCCAAACTAGCCAAAGGAGTATTCCATTCCACAGCATGTCATGCCCAGTATATAAACTGGGGGGCAGTTACCCAGAAGGCCCATATCGCTGCTCAGGTCGGCAGGTGATTAGCAATTGTACTTTCTTCCCTTGTTATTTCCCTTATCATTATTATTATTGGTGGTAGCAGCAGTGGTTTGTGTTATACCTTAGTTACTGGACTGTTCTTATCTCAACCCATGGGAGTTACATTTTTGATTCTCTTCTCCATCCCTCTGGGAGCTGGGGGAGGAAGAAGGTGGGGGGATTGTGTGAGCAGCTGCGTGGTTCTGAGCTAACGGCTGGGCTTAAACCACGACAACAACTAAATTGCTACAACTTAATCAAGACCTTCTATGACAGAAAACGAGGTCTGAATTACGTCAATCTCTTGAAACAGAAAAGAGGAAAAAAATCTTTCATAAGGCAAACTGAATGAGGAATCTCACCAAACCAGTGATACATGTGGAACAATCTGAAAATGGCTCCAGCTGTACTGTAGGTAGAAAATGAATCAGCTACTTTACAATTAAATGACATCATTTCAACAGGCTATTAAGTTTCTAATCACATTTACCCTTAACATGCTGATTTCCTAACTCTATGTTAAAGGAGAATCTTAACTTGTAAATGATGGATTTCTTTACCTGTGTAACATGCCATGAGATGCACATGTTACTGTGTATCTCATAAAGATAATAGGTTTGTTTACCTGAAGATATTTATGTAAAACTTAGTATCTTGGGATACTTGTATAAGTATCTTAACAAACTTACTATAAGAACTTTATGGTAGAACTAGTTTTGCTGTTTGCCAGTACTTGTTAGGTAAAACACTGGTTGGATTTTCTTTACAGAAGAGTGCATTTTTGGTGTGGAAAAATAAGTAATATATATGAATGTAAAGAATAAATCAAATACAGCAACTAAAACATTAATAGAATTTTCTATTCTTCAGTAATTTGAACAGCATATGTGTCCTGGGTTCAGCAGTAGCAGTCATTTTTCTCCTTCTTGGTAGCTGGTGCAGTGCAGTGTTCTGACTTTTGGCCTGGGAACAGAGCTGATAGTGATGTTTTGGTTTGGCCAAGGACTTTGTGAGCCTCATGCTCTGCCAGGGAGGAGGGGAAGCCAAGAGGAAGCAGAGACAGGACACCTGACCCAAACTGACCAAAGAGGTATTCCATACCACAGCACGTCATGCCCACGATGTAACTGGGAGTTAGCCGGAAGGGCTGGGAGTCTGCAGGGTTGGAGGAGGTATGGGTCGGTGCTTGGTCGGGCTTGGGGGGTGAGTTATCAGTTGGCTGGTGGTGAGGTGTTGTATTCTCTTCCCTTGTTATTTCCTTTATCATTATTATTATTGGTGGTAGCAGTAGTGATTTGTGATATACCTTAGTTACTAAACTGTTCTTATCTCAACCCGTGGGAGTTGCATTCTTTTCGATTCTCCTCTCCGTCCCTCTGGGAGCAGGGGGAGGGAAAGAAGGGGGGGAGTGAGGGAACGAGTTACCTGACTGGGTTTAAACCACGACAATATGCTTCTAAGATTTTTAATTGTGTTTCTACATAAACATTGCTATTAACAGTTATAGCCCTATAAGTAAATTGGGTGCTCAGTTTTTATTATGCCTCACAAAAACTTAGGCTGCTTTAAAAACCTCTGTCTATATTTGCAGAAAAGTACATGTCCTAATTACACTGGGTTTCATATATTGAGAGAAATTTCTCAGCTGTTTCATGCATTTGTTGCTGGAGTTGGTTTGGGGGCTTTTTGTGTTGAAGCTGATAGCATTTCTGAGCTCAAACCTTGTCATGAAGGGATGTCTGTTTATTTGAAATGATATTGGTACAGGATTTCATTCTTCTGACAGCCTCTGTTCTGCTTTTGTAAGTGGCAAATTCCAGCCCAAGGAGATGTCAAATCACAATGAAGAGAGGCTTCCCTAGAAAAAATAATGATAATGCATGTTTTACAGTAACTCAAATTCAAACCCCCCAGCATGTGCATATTGAAGCAGAACATCATTAGATGGATACAAATTAAAGCTGCCTTGGCCTCAATTTTCTGTTAGAAAAGCAAAGTTGAGAAATAAGTACATTTGACACTTTGCTATGTTCTGCAATATTTTAAGGAAAAGGACGTATTTTCTACCTATAAATGTTCTTTTTGTTTTAACAAAACTGCATAATCAGTTTCTTTTGGACTTTTTTTTTTCTTTCTTCAATTAAAGTACTACCTGTTCATATAACTTCACAAACAAATGTGCAATACTTTTTTCATCTGCCTTTTCTCTCTCTTGTTATTTTTAATACTACAGGCCTTGAGAAGCTATGTGTCGCCAGTGTGTCCTGGAAGGTATATACACAAATTAGATATGGTATCTGACTGACAAATACATGGGATAATCACTCATCATGAATGCAGCATTGCTAACACAAGTATTCTGGACCCTTCCACAAGTGAAGTTAACATGGACTGGTAATGAAGTGGGAAAATTATGTTGGCGTGAGTAAAACTTAGAGTAAATCTGCACTGTAAACTATATAGCCCTAGAGGGCAGGAGGGCCCAAGACTCTCAGTTGATATTCAAGGATCACCTGCTACAAGCTCAGGAGTGTTACATCCCAACTAGAAGGAAGTGCAGCAGGAGGGCCAGGAGACCTCCTTGGATGGATAAGGAGCTCCTGAGGAAAATTCAAATGAAAAAAGAGGCTTATAATAAGTAAGTGGAAGCAAGGACAGGCAGCCTGGGAAGAGTACAGGGATGTTGTCCAGGAAGCTAGGGACCAGGTTAGGAAAGCTAAGGCCCAGTTAGAATTAAACTTGGCTAGGGATATTAAGGATAACAGGAAGGGATTCTACAGGTAATAGCAAATAAAAAACAGACTAGGGAGAACGTAGGCCCCCTCAGGAAGCTCTCGGAGAACTGGCTACACAGGATTTGGAGAAGGCTGAGGTTCTGAATGATTTCTGTGCCTTGGTCTTCACTGGCAAAGGCTCTGACCACACCACCCAAGTCTTGGAAGGCAGAGGAACCTTGACATGCTTGTGAGGTGCGCTGATGCCAACCCTATGAAGTTTAACCATAACAAGTGCAAGGTCCTACACCTGGGTTGGAGCAATCCCAGGCACAGCTACAGGTTGGGCAGAGAAGAGATTCAGAGCAGCCCTGCGGAGAAGGACTTGAGGGTGTTGGTTGATGAGAAAATGAACATGAGCTGGCAGTGTGTGCTTGCAGCCCAGAAAGCCAACCATATCCTGGGCTGCATCAAAAGGAGCGTGACCAGCAGATTGAAGGAGGTGATCCTGCCCTTTTACTCTGCTCTTGTGAGACCTCACCTGGAGTATTGTGTGCAGTTCTGGTGTCCTCAACATAAAAAGGACATGGAACTGTTGGAACAAGTCCAGAGTAGGCCCACGAGGATGATCAGGGGACTGAAGCACCTCCTGTATGAAGACAGGCTGAGAAAGTTGGGGCTGTTCAGCCTGGAGAAGAGAAGGCTGCGTGGAGACCTCATAGCAGCCTTCCAGTATCTGAAGGGGGCCTATAGGGATGCTGGAGAGGGACTCTTCATTAGGGACTGTAGTGACAGGACAAGGAGTAATATGTTAAAACTTAAACAGGGGAAGTTTAGGTTGGATATAAGAAGGAAATTCTTTCCTGTTAGGGTGGTGAGGCACTGGAATAGGTTGCCCAGGGAGGTTGTGAATGCTCCATCCCTGGTGGTGTTCAAGTCCAGGTTGGACGAAGCGTTGGGTGATATGGTTTAGTGTGAGGTGTCCCTGGCCATGGCAGGGGGGTTGGAACTAGATGATCTTAAGGTCCTTTCCAACCCTAACGATTCTATGATTCTATGATTCTATGTATCATCACCCTGACTTCCAGAGAATATTAGGATACTGACCTATGTACTGGAAAGAAGTTCATTTTTACTTAAACTGCTAAATACACAGGACAGAATAGGCTCTGTTACTGTTAATCTGTATGCAGTCCCATGCCTCTACCATAGGCTGTAGTACTTGAAACCCTCAAGTACTCATTCTCTTCACGCGAGACTTCACTGTGCTGTTGTTAGACCAGGGGAACTTGTTCACTCAGGTGGGCAACCTGCTGCTGCCAGTGCCCTGGGGCTCCTTGCTTGCCCTGGAGAGAAGACTTCCCTCATAGGGGACAGCCATGGCTTGAGGTGTGGTGCAGGGGAGATGGAGAACAACATCTGTGCAGCTGAGGAACCTGGATGCTGGCCAGGGCTAGCTTCAGAGCAGAGGGTCTGGCTCAGGCAAGGGGCCCAGATTGTGAGAGGGCCACCAACACCGGGTTTGTCCTTGGAACACAACAGGTTTCTGTGGGGAGGTAAACTGTCCTATCTTTGCTACTTTTGACTCTTAAGATGGAAGCTTTGTCTGTACACTGGCCTCAGAGTCCAATATTTAAGATTAGATTTCGTATTAAGAGAAGCAAGAGTCTGTGCAGTTAGGCAGTAGGCAGGGGAAGGGCCCTGAAGAGCATCTCCCCTTTCCCACACCTACCTCGCAGGCATGTTCCTCTTTACTTGCAGCCGCAGCAGATGCGACCTTGCCCAACGGGGCTTGCAGGCACTGCTGGGATTGGTCTCAACCCTCCACGGTAGGCCTCAAGGGAAGGCCCCTCTCCTTGAAGGTGACGGCACCACAGGTCTCTGTTCCCGCGAAGGGCACTTCTTCGCTGTCACCCTCCGCAGGGCTCCCTGTTGCGGGGGTCCCTGCGCCCGCTCCCCAATGCCCCCCAACACGGCCGGGCCTGCCTCTTACGTGAGGCGACCAGGGCGAGCTCAGGTGAGCGGCTCCGGCTTTGCTGGCGCCTGGCCGACAGGTGGCGCTGCCCGCTCGGCCCGGCCTGGCCCCGCCCGGCCCGGCCCGGCCCGGCCCCCTTGGCGCGGTGGGGAGCAGAGCGGCCGGTAGTTCGTCGTGGTTGTTAGCGCTACGGAGTCGCAGATCTGGCGGACAGCAGAGCCCCCAGTGTCATGGAGCCGCAGGCACAGGGTGAGTCTCGGCGGGACTGAGCCCTTCCGTGGCTGCCGCTTCCCCACCTCGGGAGAGGCTGAGCCTGCGTTGCGGGGAGAGCTTGAGTGCGAGTCGCGACCTGGGTATCGTCCGCTTCTCTGGCCGGGGCGCCGAAGAGAGGAGCCCAGTCTGAGGTACCCGTGAGGGCTCTCGGGTGACCCGGTGGCTGCCGGCGCCCCGGGCTCGCCGTGCGCCCTGTCCTCCCTTTGGTTTTCCTTATTACTCTACATGCTTGGGGTGCCGGTGTTCTCTTCTGCTGCCGCTGCTTTAAGGGTGTGACGGTCGAGTAGCTGGGATGCAACTTCGCGTTAAGTTAACCTCGGCGAGAGTAGGGTGTGCAGTTGGTCAGAAATAGAGCCGTGCGCGGCGGGGGCCTGCCGGACAGCCTCGGGATGCTTCGGGCAGACACCCCGTACTGGCTCTTGCGGGGGCGGGACAGGACCGGCCGCATCGCAGCCCTAGCCTTGGGAGGAGGCTGAGCCGGACCACTGGCGCCGCCAGCAGCGGGGCTGCGGCCGCGCGTCGGCAGAGCCCTCCGCCGGGGTCAGCCTAAAGCGGGGTCTGCTAAAGCGTGTCTGATGTTCTGCCAAACACTGCTGTCGTTAGTTTAAAATTAACTTTTTCTTTTGCAACAATTATGATTACGTTAGTTGTTCACCTCTCTCTATGGCTAAAGTTAACTGGCCTTCAGAGAACAGAAGGAACTTTTCACGGAAGGTTTCGATGATGTTTGGGTCAACCTAAGGTATTTAGTCAACCTAAGGTATTTAGCATATAGAGGTCTTGCTCACCTTTAAGGTCTTGCTTTTGTTTTGGAATCATAGAATGGTTTGGGTTGGAAGGGAGCCCAGGGATCATCCAGTTCCACCGCCCTTGCCATGGGCAGGGACACATTCCACTAGACCAAGTTGCTCCAAGCTCCATCCAACCTGGCCTTGAGCATTGCCAGGGACGGTGCAGCCACAGCTTTTCTGGGCAAGCTGTGCCAGTGCCTCACCACCCTCACAATGAAGAATTTCTTCCTAATATTTAATCTAAGTCTGCCCTTTTTCAATTGAAAGCCATTCCCCTTTGTCCTATCCCTACATGCCCTTTTCTGAAGAACCTTTTAACTTGGCCACACATGTTGTAAATCAACAGTATGAAGCAGGTAGTACAAGTATTTCTGAGAAAGCAGGAGTTTTAGAAACCATTTTATGTCGTCTCTAAAATAGGGAGATGAAGTTAAGGGGGAGGCATATGCTTATTGAAACTAACTGACAAAATAGCTTTCCAGAACAGTTTAAAAATGCCTTAAACAAATACACATGTAAGAGGCAAATGTTGATTGCAAATATAGTTGTACATAAAGGAATACGGTGGGAAATTTGAGTTCATGATTCTTGTGAAAGAGAAAGCCTTTCCTGTCCTATCCTAATGGATACATAGCAGAAGCTGATTGGCAAAATAAATAGGTCTTTGGCTCAGTTCCCAGGGTTTTTAAAAGTCAGTTTTAAGATTATAGCATAAGACTTATTTAAACTAATTTTCCAATGGGAGCTCCTGTTCTTTATACAGGAACTTCATATGTGAAGGATTTGATAACTTGTTTTTTTTTGTAGAACTGATGGAAAGCAGTATCTGATTCTCATTAGCCAGATAGTGGTATATGTGCATGTGAACTTTCTACCTTCCCTGACTGGTAAAATGAATAAATATATTCTTAGTAGGTGTTAAAAATTCAAAACAATAAATGTGTTTTGCTAATGTACATTTTGATTAGCAACTCTGTTAGTACCACAGGTCTTTATTAAATTCTTCTTCTGGATGAATATGTATTGGCTAGTGAGAGACTATAAAAGCATTTTGTATTGCTTAATGTTATCTAATTAGGCAGTCTTAGCCCTTCATTTTTCTGCATGCAGTGAAGGAGCTCAGGAGCATTTTTTGTTTGGTTTGGTTTTGTAATCTTAAACTTAGTTGACAGGAAGACAGATATAGGACTTTTCAAGGCTATACTCAGCTGAGTCACTTTTTTCTTCTATATCTCACCTGTGTGTTTTATTTCTACAGTTTTTCAGAACAGTTGCCCATTACCTAAAACAATCTTTCTTTGATACGCTAACAATACAAGCTAAGGTTTTTGTGGTCAGTATTTGCATGCCAACAAACCTTTGTACTGAAAGGTCCCTCTTTCCTTCCAGGTTTAATTTGGTGCATGCTACTGCAGTTATGGAGCTTGCTGGCAAAAAGCATTTAACCTGTATGTGTCTAATACAGTTGAATTAACAATTAAGTACCTGGCCAGAAATCTGAATTCTTCAACCCCATTATGTAATTTGCAGAGCATAGTTATAGCAGGTTACTAAAAAAACAGTAACAATTTGCTTGGGGGAAAAAAAACCCAAACCAAAACACTTCTAAGTATCTGCTTAGCAGGACAAATATGTATGCATTTTAATAAGTTTATGAATTGCTTCTAAGGACCCTTTAGCCCACAGAGAAATGAATTCTGAATGGTTTGTTCCAGTGTGCTTTGCTGGGGGATTCATTTGAATTGAAAAGACAAAGTAAAAGCTATAAATTCTAAAGCTCTGTTGAATTTTTCATATTTAACATATTAAAGGTTTTCATCAAAAGTGCTTTTCTACAGAATTGTGTTGTTTGTGCCATTTTACTTTGTCCTGAAGGGAGGCTATGCCTTTGGATCAATTTCACATATAAGAAATGCATACATGTAAATACAAAATGTAGATTTCTCCAGAGAAGGAAAATAATTGTCAGCATTTTTAAGTAGCAGCATGAATCAGCCTTACAAATCTTAACTTAAATCTGTGGACATTAAGAAGTATTATTACGTGTAACTGTATCAAGATAGAGGTCACACCTAACATCGGGAGTTTCTGTGTCATTCAAGGCACAACATAGCATCTGAGCATCTGTCTGTACTCCAAAGACTGTGGAAATTAAATTCTCTGTTTTTTATCTTAAAGCAATAGAGAGTTCATAGGCTGAAATGGTATTACTGTTACACTGGAGTATATTGAATATGTCTTGCAGCATCCACACTAACTAGATGAGATAGTCTACCAGACAGAGAGTAATAGTAATTAATGTTAAAATTGTTTTCTAAAGAAATAACCATATGTTCCATGTTCAAAAAAAAAAAAACAAACCAAAAAAAAGCATCAAAAAAGGTAATAAAAATCATAAGTTGTACTTCACATAAATTTTATCTTCAAGCCTCTGGGTGCATTTTTCTTCAATTGCTTTTTCCTCTTAATGGTACTAGAGTTAGTTGCTATGTTCCCAGGGTCAGCTCTACTTATGCTGGGGGCTAAAAATTCCATAAGAGCATATTTGTTTTCCTTCTTGTGGCTGTCAGGCGTTTTCAAAGTGAAGAGTTTGGAAGTCTGAAGAACAGTATTTCTCTGTGAAATATGGGAAGATCAGAGCTGTGTATTTGCCTCTCATCACACTCATTCTACTCCGGGTCTAGGTTAGCTGACTATCCTGTGTAGTCCTGCTTTCTAGTTTAAAGCTATGAATGTCTCTTAATCCTGTCTCTAGTACTGTGGATATCTTCATCTGAGAGTCAGTGTGACTTCTAGCACTGAAGCTTTGCTTTTCATAGAATAATTATGGTTGGAAAGGACCTTAAGATCATCTAGTTCCAACCCCCCTGCCATGGGCAGGGACACCTCACGCTAAATCATATCACCCAAGGCCTTGTCCAACCTGGTCTTGAACACTGCCAGGGATGGAGCATTCACAACCTCCCTGGGCAACCCATTCCAGTGCCTCACCACCCTTACAGGAAAGAATTTCCTTCTTATATCCAACCTAAACTTCTCCTGTTTAAGTTTTAACCCGTTATCCCTTGTCCTATCACTACAGTCCCTAATGAAGAGTCCCTCTCCAGCATCCCTATAGGCCCCCTTCAGATACTGGAAGGCTGCTATGAGGTCTCCACGCAGCCTTCTCTTCTCCAGGCTGAACAGCCCCAACTTCCTCAGCCTATCTTCATACGGGAGGTGCTCCAGTCCCCTGATCATCCTCGTGGCCCTTCTCTGGACTTGTTCCAACAGTTCCATGTTCTTTTTATGTTGAGGACACCAGAACTGCACACAATACTCCAGGTGAGGTCTCACGAGAGCAGAGATCACCTCCTTCAATCTGCTGGTCATGCTCCTTTTGATGCAGCCCAGGATACGGCTGTCTTTCTGGGTTGCAAGCGCACACTGCCAGCTCATGTTCATTTTCTCATCAACCAACACCCTCAAGTCCTTCTCCACAGGGCTGCTCTGAATCTCTTCTTTGCCCAACTTGTAGCTGTGCCCGGGATTGCTCCGACCCAGGTGTAGGACCTTGCACTTGGCATGGTTAAGCCTCATGAAGTTGTGTCAAGGTCCCTCCGGATGGCATTCCTTCCCTCCAGGGTATCAACGGAACCACACAGCTTGGTGTCATCGGCAAACTTGCTGATGGCGCACTCAATCCCGCTGTCCATGTCACCAACAAAGATGTTAAACAAGACCGGTCCCAGCACCGATTCTGAGGGACACCACTCGTTACTGGTCTCCAGCCGGACATTGAGCCATTGACCACAACTCTTTGTGTGCAGCCATCCAGCCAGTTCTTTATCCACCGAGTGGTCCATCCATCAAATTGATGTCTCTCCAATTTAGAGACAAGGATGTCATGTGGGACAGTGTCGAACGCTTTACACAAGTCCAGGTAGATGACATCAACTGCTCTACCCCTGTCCATCAGTTCTGTAGCCCCATCATAGAAGGCCACCAAATTGGTCAGGCAGGATTTCCCCTTAGTGAAGCCATGCTGGCTGTCACCAAGCACCTTGTTGTTTTTCATGTGCCTTAGCATGCCTTCCAGGAGAATCTGCTCCAGGATTTTGCCAGACACAGAGGTGAGACTGACTGGTCTGTAATTCCCTGGGTGATCCATTTTCCCCTTCTTGAAAATGGGGGTTATATTTCCCT